CGGCGCGCGGGGCTGCAGGGGCGGCAAGAGGGCCTAGGGGTGGCGGGCGGGCCGCAAGGGGCGGCGCGTGGGGCTGAAGGGGCGGCTCACGGGCTGCAATGGTGAAGGGCGGGCCGCAAGGGGTGGTCGCGGGGCTGCAAGGGTGGTGTGCAGGGCATCAAGGGCGGCACGAGGGGCTGCAAGGGCAGCGCACAGGGCAGCAAGGGTGGCGCGCGGGGCCTAGGGGCGGCGGGCGGGCTGCAAGGGGCGGCGGGCGGGCTGCAAGGGGCGGCGCGCGGGGCTGTAGGGGCGACGGGCGGGCCGCAAGGGGCGGCGCGCGGGGCCCAGGGGCGGCGGGCGGGCCGCAAGGGGCGGGGCGCGGGGCTGCAGGGGCGACGGGCGGGCCGCAAGGGGTGGCGCGCGGGGCTGCAGGGGCAGCTGGCGGGCCGCAAGCGGGCGACGCGCGTGCTGCAGAGGCGGCGGGTGGGCCGCAAGTGGGCGGCGCGCTGGCTGCAGGGGCGACGGGCGGCGCTTAAGGCATAAGGGCGGCAGGGCAGCTAGTGGGGAACCTCTATGGTGGGCCCGAAAAAAAATCGGTCATAGCGAAGGACCTGCTCTGAAGCCATGTCAAAGTAACGAACGAGGAATGAATGAACTATGAGAGAGTTGTGTACAAGTTTTAACCCTTATTGGGTTGTACCCCTTATGGGCTACCCCACTATAGCCTACACAAAGTAAGCAATATAACATTTTGACAGTGCAAAAACGCTGATGATCACCAGACCCCAAGGCCCTGGTGAAGATATCAGCAATGTTGGCCTGTGAGGCCGTGTAAGCAAGGCAGAGCTGACCACGCTTGTGAGGATCGATATGATCGAGTTCAGAAATGAGGAAATTGTGTTGTACCGAGGTGATCATTCAATACATGTTATAAATTTTAAACACATTCATGCTTTTAAAAGTTGTGTATTGTGAAAGCGAAGCTACCTGTACTGAATATTTGGCAGCATCGAAGCACGCTAAACGCCCTTCTCCAACTAAAAAAACCGTGGGTTGGAGTTCATCTCCCTCCACCCACGTTTCTCTAGTTTCAACGGCTCTATCAACATTTCCGTTCGAGTAGACATTTTTCCGTCGAAGCTGGCTAGAACTCGCAGTCTCCCGAGAGGCGTGTCACCCTCAACTTTAATGCGCGACATTTTTACCTACAATTGCTCAACTATGGTGTCCACGCCGACACTTAACCGCGGCAATTCGTCCGCCCCGACTTCCGACTCCGACCGTAACGCCCGAGAATTCACGGGCGAATGCCGTAACAAGTGGCTGGCAGTGGACGTGCTATTGGGCGGGCTCGAGGTCAACAAAAACTTGAGCGCCCCCCTCCAGCAGCAGCACGTGGCATCAGTGGCGCCTGAGGCACCCGTGGCGCAAGTGGCAACGAAAACGCCTGCAGCACTTGTGGCGCCACACGCGCCTGACGCACAGCATGCGCCAGCGCCTGTGGCTGGACCGCCGTGTCAGCGCAAGAGGCGCCGAACGGCGTTTTCGTCGGATGCGACGACCCCGACGCTGACTCCGTCGTTGACCCCGAACCAAGTCGCCGCGCTTCTGTCCCTAATACAGCAGCAGTCCGTCAGCGTTACAGTTGCGGAAACTGCTCTACCCACGGCCTCGCTTCTGCAAAAAGGGAAATTGCAAAAATACAAAAGGAGCGCGAGGAACAATGGTGAACCGGCAGGACAAGGAAGCAGCGGCCAACATCCCACCTGCGCTAGCTGCATATAATGACACTGATGACTCCGACAACGACAACGGTGAGGCTCCTGTCAATGCTCCAAAATTTATCTCCATGGAACGCCTCCCCCCTCTCCCCTCTAACACTAACACCACGTGGAGAGCGGCGACATTCAACCACCTGGATGTGTGGGCAAAAGCGGAGGTCCTGGAGGACATGAGGGCCTACCTGAAGCACACGGAGTACAAGCTGCAGCACAACGACTTGGCGGGCGGACTCGAAATGGTTGTCGCCGCTCTCGATGACATCTCGACGCGCTTCGACATGTTTCAAGTCGAGGATGCAGCCGACGAACGCGTCGCCAAGCGCTACAAGATGTACCTGCTGAAAAGCTTGCTCACCTCGCGGCCATACAAGCAAGCAGTCATGGGCATTGCTCCCATGGACCGAGCGGCAGCCGCTCATGCTCGCTTCAACCGCGGCGGAAACAACGGCGCAATGGCATTCCCCCAAAAGCGTGGACCGCCACCATCGGGCAGCTTCCATGGCTTTCGTGGCTCGTGCTTCCACTGCGGCCAGCCGGGCCACGTTCCCAACGCCTGCCCTCGGAATGGGCATGGAGGCCAAGGACCCACACCCATCGTAAAGGGGTCGGGATATGGCTAAGCGTGACATTGGGCGTGATGCACGGTGCACTCTCGAGTGCTTAGACCGTGGGCAGCATATTGGGGCTTGTGGTGGCCATGGGCTAGCCCAAAGATAGGGTAGTAAGGAAGGGCAATGAGCCCAGCTTTGGGGAAGAGGAAGAATGCCTCTCGGTCCCCCGTATGCCCCAATTGATGGGATGAAAGCATGCTAGTTGGCATAGCAATGTATGACTTATGAGATGAAGGATTTCGACCCATTGCTTGGTGAAGAATCTAAAAAGGAGGAAATGGAGGAGGAGAAAGAGAAGGAGAAAATGCATCATATGTCCCTCACTCGAACCACTGCCGCCGTATACGGCGAGGATGGGCAGCCTTGGCTTTATTGGAAGTAGGCCCCAAAGGACACGAAATAGCATGGAATGTATAAGAACAAATAATAACAAAAGAGGGGAGAGGCTGGGAGCTTAAGAGAGGGGACGTGCGGAAGGGCATGGGCCCAAGCAAGGGAGGTATGCATATCCCCAAATAACAATGAGAGAGAGAGAGAGAGAGAGAGAGAGAGAGAGAGAGAGAGAGAGAGAGAGAGAGAGAGAGAGAGAGAGAGAGAGAGAGAGAAAGAGAGAGAGAGAGAGAGAGAGAGAGAGAGCGAGAGAGAGAGAGAGAGAGAGAGCGAGAGAGAGAGAGAGAGAGAGAGAGAGGAAGAGAAAAGGAGAAATAAGGAGAAGCATGATCCTGGTCCCAAGCACCGGCCCCACGCACCAAGGGCATGAACCGCGTCCAATCGAGTGGACGATAAGGCAAAAAAAAAAAAAAACGGGGGGGTGTGGAGTGAGAGCATGAGAAAGAGCTTGCCAAGGTGCGGTGAGAAGAAGGCTTTGAAAAAAAAAAAAAAAAAAAAAAAAAAAAAACAAGAGGCGACGAAATCGTCTAAGGGTTGTGGAGCATTTGAGATAAATGTGCATTTCATTTTCTATAAATTTTATGTAGTTTGGTTTGGTATTAAAGGCAACAATCCAATGAGTGTCATCAATCGAGAATCGATCTCACGACCCCGATTACAACCAGTATCGTAGAGAGTTGTGCTAAACAGCTTTTGCAGTTTGGGAACTGAAAGGCTTGATATATCTGAATCTACAAAACAAACATTCAATTAGGGTTTCGTAATCCCTCTCTTACCGCTCTGATTTCCTCTCCCAACAACTGCTCACGCAACTCCCTTAGTCCTCCCGCCACTTCCTCATCTGCACCTTCTGAGGTGTGCTTAGGTATTCTAGGCTAGTATCGTTGCTTAAGGTCTAAGATTAAGAGAGTAAGTTATCTCGATCTAGAATGAAGTACCTCGTGATTGGTGCTTACGTTTTATGTACCGTATATTATGTAATCGGTAGACTCTAAAACCACGTTTCTTTCTTTCTTGTCCAACTCTTTTGCTCGGTCGTTTCTCTCTCGTCCGCTTCTCATTTTCAACCGCCTCTCTCTATTTCTCCCTCTTTCTCTCTCTCAAACTACCACGTTTTTGTCAGAATGTATTTGCTGTCTAGCCTGCAGTGGGGTACTCTGTAATGAGTACAACCCAATTTAGGGTGTTGTACTTGTATCCCAACTCTTGCTAGTGAAACCCCTCATTCTCCTTTCCAATTCTCTCGACACTCAATTCTCTCGACACTCAATTCTCTCGACACTCACTAGCCATGGCTCCTAAGTCTAGCTAGCATTCTAACATGGTATTAAGAGCATAACTTTCCTAGGACCTAATGTCAATGGGCCCACCACCTACGTACCTGCTAGCCTAGGCCCCGGCCCGTCGCACCTTGGCGTCACCCATAGCCCCTAGGCTCGGCCCCTTGGCCCGTCGCCCCTAGCTCGGCCCCTCGGCTCCGCTGGCCCCGTCGATTCCGTCGCCCGCGCCCGGCCCGTACCTAGCCTGCGCTCGGCCACGTTCCTAGCCCCGCGCCCGGCCCGTACCTCGCCCGCGCTCGGCTCCATTCCTAGCCCCGCGCCCGGCCCATACCCTGCCCGCGCCCGGCCCCGTCTCTCGCCCGTGCTCGGCTCGTACCTAGCCCCGCGCCCGGCCCGTACCCAGCCCAGCGCACGGCCCCGAACCTAGCCAGCGCCCGGCCCCGTACCTAGCCCGCGCATGGCCCCGTCTGTCGCCAGCGCCTGGCCCCGTACCTAGGCCGCGCCCGGCCCCGTACTTAGCCCACGCCCCGGCCCCGTACCTCGCCCGCGCCTGGCCCGTACCTAGCCTCGCGCCCGGCCCGTACTTAGCCCGCGATCGGCCCGTACCTAGCCCGCGCTCGGCCCCTTTCCTAGCCTCGCGCCCGGCCCGTACCTAGCCCGCGCCTGGCCCCGTACCTAGCCCGCGCCCGGCCCGTACCAAGCCCGCGCCTGGCCCCGTCCTTCGCCCAGCGCCCGGCTCCGTCTCTTGCCCGCGCCCGGCCCAGTACTTCGCCCGTGCCCGGCCCCGAACCTAGCCCCGCGCCCGGCCCCATTCCGCGCCCAGCGCCCGGCCCCACGACAACACCTGCGCCCGGCCCCTCGTTTGGCCCCGCGGCCCCTCGGCCCCTCGGCCCCACCTCAAAGCCCAGCGCCCGGCCCCTTGTTTGGCCCCTCGGCCCCCCCTAGGCCCCTCGGCCCCCCTAGGCCCCCCCGACCCCGTACCTGCCCAGCGCCCGGCCCCGAACCTGCCCAGCGCCCAGCCCTGTACCTGCCAGCGCCCGGCCTCGTACCTGCCCAGCGCCCGGCCCCGTACCTGCCCAGCGCCCGGCCCCGTACCTGCCCAGCGCCCTGCCCTGTCCCTGCCCAGCGCCCGGCCCTGTACCTGCTTTGGCCCCTCGGCCCCCCTGGGCCCCTCGGCCCCTTGTTTGGCCCCGCGGTCCCTAGGCCCCTCGGCTCCACCTCAGAGACCGGCGCCCGCCCCCCCCCCCCCCCGGCCCCTTGTTTGGCCCCTCGGCCCCCTAGGCCCCTCGGCCCCCCCTAGGCCCCCCGGCCCCTGGTTTGGCCCCGCGGCCCCTAGGCCCCTCGGCCCCACCTCAGAGCCCGGCGCCCGGCCCCCTGGCCCCTTGTTTGGCCCCTCGGCCCCCCCCCTAGGCCCCTTGGCCCCGTGTGATTGGCCCCTCGGCCCCCACTAGGCCCCCCGGCCCCTTGTTTGGCCCCGCGGCCCCTAGGCCCCTCGGCCCCACCTCAAAGCCCGGAGCCCGGCCCCCCAGCCCCTTGTTTGGCCCCTCGGCCCCCTAGGCCCCTCGGCCCCCCTAGGCCCCCCCGGCCCCGTACCTGCCCAGCGCCTGGCCCCGAACCTGCCCAGCGCCCGGCCCTGTCCCTGCCAGCGCCCGGCCCCGTACCTGCCCAGCGCCTGGCCCCGTTCCTAGCCATGGCCCCGTCGCCCCTAGCCATGGCCCCTCGCGACCTGCCGCCCCTAACCGCGGCCCCGGTGCCCTGTTGCAACGTGGTGGGTGAGGGGGTGGCAAGAGGGGGTTCCTCCTGCCCGCGTGCCCTACAGTCGCACGCGCAGCTCCGCCCCCGCCCCCCTCCCCCCCTTCCCCCCCCTCCATGGGGATGGCGGGGAGAGGGGGGGGGAGCTTGGAGGTTCAGGGGGAGGCAGGAGGGGATCTGCAGCACCAGGTCCCCCACCCTTCTCCTACCTCCCCCTGCTGCGGGTGCAGCAGAGGGGGGGAAGGGGATCTGCAGCACCGACCCCCCCACCCCCCACCCCTCCCCCCCCTCCATGGGGATGGCGGGGAGAGGGGGGGGAAGCTTGGAGGTTCAGGGGGAGGCAGGAGGGGATCTGCAGCACCAGGTCCCCCACCATTCTCCTACCTCCCCCTGCTGCGGGTGCAGCAGAGGGGGGGAGGGGATCTGCAGCACCGACCCCCCCCCCCCCCCCCCCCTCATCCTTCTCCTACCTCCCCCTGCTGCGGGTGCAGCGGTGGGGGGGAGGGGATCTGCCATCCCCCTGCTGCGGGTGTGGCGGTGGGGGGGAGGGGATCTGCAGCTCCAGCCCCCCCCCCCGCCCCCCCTTCTCCTCCGTCTCTCTGCTGCAGGTGCAGCAGTGGGGGAGGGTATGGGGGTGGCGGGTGTGGCCAACCTGCTGTCACCCGAGCGGCTCCTGCACCGCCCCTTCTCCTACCTCCCCCTGCTGCGGGTGCAGCAGTGGCGGGGAGGGGATCTGCAGCACCAGCCCCCCCCCCCGCCCCCCCCCACCCCTCCCCCTTCTCCTCCATCCCCTGCTGCAGGTGCAGCAGTGGGGGAGGGTATGGGGGTGGCGGGTGTGGGTGCAACTGCGGGGTGGCGGGTATGGGGGTGGCGGGTGTGTGAACCATCCCCTGCTCCTCCTCCTCCTCCGTCTCCCACTGCTGCAGCTGCCGCTGAGGGGGGTGGGTGTGTGGGAGCCTAGGGAGTGGTGCTAGGGGGGTGACGTGGGAGTGGAGCTAGGGGTGCAGCAAGGGGTGTGTGAAAGGGGGGTGGGACAGTTGGGGGAGGTTGAGCGGAGGTACCTGTCGTGTTGCCAGCAGCGCCAGTAGTCCGGAGGCTACAATCTCCGGTAGCCCAGCGAGCCTACTGCGCCAGTCGCCTGTGGGTCCGTTGCTCCTGCCGCTCAGAGTTAGCCGCAGAGCCAGTTACTCCTGTAGTCCGGGGATACGGCCCCGGTAGCCACAGTGCGCGCCGCTCCTGTAGCCCGTGTGTCTGCAGCATCAGCAGTCGCCCCCTATCTCCTATCCTCTCACAGTCCAGCCTCCTCCTCACTTGCCCTTTGTGTATGCCTCTAGCTTTGCTTGTACTTGTGAACCTGCTCTATGACTGCTTGCTCTGCTGATTATACCCCACTTTGACTATGGGGGTGTGTCAGAATGTATTTGCTGTCTAGCCTGCAGTGGGGTACTCTGTAATTAGTACAACCCAATTTAGGGTGTTGTACTTGTATCCCAACTCTTGCTAGTGAAACCCCTCATTCTCCTTTCCAATTCTCTCGACACTCAATTCTCTCGACACTCAATTCTCTCGACACTCACTAGCCATGGCTCCTAAGTCTAGCTAGCATTCTAACAGTTTTGGCTAGCATAGATACCGTATTACAATATGAGCTTCATACATCTGAAAGTGGAGAGCATCTCGTTTTCTTTCTGTCAATCTTCCTTGCTCGCCCTTGCATGAATCGTCCTTGCATGAATCTTGTATTACTATTCCTTCACAACTTCTTTCGGATAATTAGTTTATTGGGTGGCATCTTATCTTCCTTTTAGCATATAATTTCCATATCCATTAGTTCCCATACTTCATTCTTTGTCTAACAACAATATCCCTATTCTACTACCAACTACGACTTTCAGATTTTTTGTTCGCTACGCTTAAAACCGTGATAGTTAGTTATTCCTCATTTCACAGTAGCTCTGTATTTTTATTTTCCTTCCTGGTCATTCCTTTCTACTCTCGTTACTTTCTCCTTTTCTCCCATGCTTTCAGTTCACCATCACTTTTGTTTGCCTTACCACTACTAGCTTTTCCTACGTACTACTCTCTGGTTTTTTGTTATTATTTTTTCTTCACTTTCCATGACCTTCCCTGCTTTCTACTATATGATTTGTAATCATTGGTTGTTTTCCCATACTTCGCTTTCCTCACGCTTTTCGTTGCTTCCATTTTTGGTTATGCTAATTGTTTCTGTCTTCGTGTATGTCTTTGTGATGCATTTCCATTCCTTCTCGGTTCCCTCCCTCTTAGTGCTTTTCTTATACGTGTATGGTCATGCTTCCTTCTTCTGTTGATTTATATGAACTTTGCATCTCCATTTTGGGTGTTGGTTCCCTGCTTGTTTGTGTTTTGTGATTGCAGATGCTATTCAGGGGGTGAACATCTCGTACAACTGATTACAGTATGATGGGCTTTACTATTTCTTAAATAGTTCCAATATATTTAAGTTTTTTTTTGCATGATTTGTTATTTTGATTGACTTGTTCTCATTTCATTAGTAATGAATGTCTGCATGTTTCAAAAAGAATTATTTCCGATCATCGTCACAAAAGGCTCGGTGGTGTACCACTCTGACAGTGAAGCCATTTTGAGTTGGACTTGATCGTTGTAGATTTCTCTCTGGGATGTGCAGATTGTGTTGCTCCATGTCATAGTTCCTTATCCAATGTTTGTACTATCGACTTCCCCCCCATGCTAGGTTGGGGAACCGGTAGTATAGACTTTGACGCTTAGTATAGTACAGAATACCATGTGGTAAAACATAGTCATCAAATTTGTTGGACGAATACGTTTTCTCATGCCAAATACGGTGATAAAAGCTTGAAATATATTGATCGGATTGTCTGGCCCTTATATTTCATCTCTCGTTTTCAGCATCTGGCACTGAATAAAACAATACCAGTAAAATATCCATGAATATGTAAATCGACCCTGCTTAAATAGGATTTTTTTTCAAGATAATAAAAAAATATGTGAAAAACAAAAGTAGGACCTCTCGATTGCAATAGGTTGCTCCGCAACCCAAAAAAAGCACAACTAAGAGTTGGGGTACATATATCTAACCCTAACAACTGTACCCCACATGACATGCCTCACTACAGGCTACAACATTTGACACACCCCCATAGCCTAAGTGAGGGGTGTTATACAACAACCAAACTGTATGGTCACAAGACCAGTCACAAAGAGACAAAGCTCAATGTGGATCACAACGTCACCACACAGTCCAAGCACAAACAAGAGGCCACAAGGCTAGTCCAAGAGTTTACAGATGTATATGTAAAGAGTGCAAACAAAGCAAGCAGACAACACAAGTCTACACAAGACGAGAACCTATGTCAACGAGACCTAACTGCACACAAAACCTGTGGTGGTCACAAGGCGGAAGGGCCTTGGTGAAGATGTCAGCAGTGTTGGCCTCGGTACCCACGAAGTACAAACGAGCCTGTTCACGCCTCTGCAACTCTCGAAGAAGAAAATATCTGACGCTGATGGGCTTCACTCTGCTCTCTTGTCAAGGCTCTCGACATAGGAGAATCTTTGCCGTGTTGTTTGTGAACAAGGTTGGTGCAGAGCTCGGTCGTTCACCAAGGTCAGTGAGCAAGAAGGTCAACCAATGCAACTTTTGTGTAGCCATGTCTCCAGCGTAAATCTAGGCCTCAGCAGTAGAGGTCGGGATAGAGGAGGAACGAGTAGACCTCCATGACAGAGCGGGAGTTCCTTGGGAAGGAGTTCACCGACTTCGTCGACGGCAAGTGCATCGTCCACGACCTGACGTGCCTTTACACTCCACAGTGGAACCGCATGGCTGAGCGGGAGATGCGCACGGCCGTCGAATCCGTGAGGACGATGCTGCTGCACATGGGCATGCAGCACCATTGGTGGCACCTCACTCTATGATAAGCTGTCTGGGTTCGCAACTGCTTGGAGCGGTCAACCACGTCGCCGGGGACGACTCCGTATCAGCTACTGACCGAGAAGAAGCCCAACCTCACGCTGGCGCGTGTGTGGGGTTGCATGGTGCAGTTCATGGTTCCTGAGCAGCAGCGCGGTGGGAAGCTGGCACCGAAAGCTCGTTGGGGGCTTCACGTGGGCGTGTCGCCGGAGAGTAAGGGCTGGGAGGTGCTCGCTCTAACTGACAACAAGGTGGTCACGTCGGTCGAGGTGATCTTCTACGAGACACTGTCGCTGGAGGTGTGGAAGGCGAAGTTTGGGCCGGCGTCGGGGCGGACGCAGGCACACCCGCCGACGGACACCTCGATGGCGATGGTTTCTTTGCTCGCCGAAGTCGATGAGCTAGCTGATGAGGATGTTGTGGAGGTTCTTCCACCTCCCCTTGTTCTTGCTCCTCCCTTCCCCGTCGCAGATCGGCCTGCGTCGACACCTGTGTCAGCCACCGGCGATGAGGGGAGCCTTGAGGCGTTGCCTGTGGCGCTGGCCAGTGGCATCGCCGGCGGTCGACAAGGCGCCAAGCTCGTCGACCAGGATGGGAAGCCGTCGACGATAGGGGAGCAGCAGACAGGGGAGCCGGTCGAACAGGAGGCAGCAGCAAGGGTGCAGTCGACAGGGGAGCTGTCAAAGTCAGCAGCTGGTCCAAGGTTCGAAGCAGCTGGTCGACGACTTGGCCGTCGACAAAGAAAGGGAGCTTTTGGGAGGAGAAGAGTCCACCGACAGCAACGTGGTGGAGGTGCCGATCACGAAGCCTGAGCTGCGACGCACAGGTCGAGATCGACGGCCACTAGAGCGGCTGAGCTTCCACGCCTGTCTACAGCCAACTACCTTCACCACTGTGTACGACGAGGTCAACGACGACCTGTAATACGACGACGCCGAGGAGGATGAAGAACTGCCGGAGCTCGACCCCGACGTGCATGCCGACCCCAAACACTGCTGGGACATTGCCACGATGACGGTGAAGGATGCGCTGGCGAGCTGGAAGGGCGAGGCGGTGAAGGCCGCCATGAAAGAAGAGATCCGCAACCTCATCGGCATGGGCACTTGGGAGCTGGTCGAACGCCCACGCGGGGTGAACATCATGAAGAACCGGTGGGTGCTGACGACCAAGTACCGCATCGACGACACTGTCGAGCGCGAGAAGGCAAGAGTGGTCGTGAAGGGCTTCACGCAAATGTGCGGTGCCGACTACAACGAGACGTACTCGCCGGTGAGCAGCTACGTCACGCTGAGGATCTTCCTCAGCATCGTCGCCGTCCTCGACCTCAACCTGATGCAGCTCGACATGAAGAACGCTTTCGTGCAGAGAAAGCTCAACAGGGTGCTCTACATGTACCAGCCGAACTACTTCAACGATGCGACCGGCAGGGAGTGTAAGCTGCTGAAGAGCCTCTACGGGCTGAAGCAGTCGTCGCTGCTGTGGTACAAGGCACTCGACGGTGTGCTGCTGGGCACTGACTGGAAGAAGAGCCAGGTCGACGAGGCGCTCTACTTCAAGGCCAGCGACAACGGAGTGACCTGCTGGGTGAAGGTCTACGTCGACGACCTGCTCGCCGCCAGCAGCAGCCCCGCGATGCTGAAGGAGCTAAAGGAGCAGCTGGAGGCTGCCTTCGAGCTGCGCGAGATTTCTCCGGTCGTCAAGTACCTCGGGCTGGAGATCGTGCGCGACAGGCCAGCGAGAAAGCGGTGGCTTCTTCAGCAGGGCTACGCCGACAAGCTGCGCAGGCGCTTCATCGACGAGGAGCAGGGCGGTCGAGTCCCGAAGACGCCGGTCTCGGTCGATGCCTACGCCGAGCTGACATTCGACGATGAGGAGGCGCAGGAGCACGAGGAGGAGGAGTACCAGTAGAAGGTTGGCTCGCTGCAGTTCGCGGTGACGACGACAAGGATGGACATCGCGTTCGCCTGCAGCAATCTGGGGAGCGGCCTCACGATGTGGAGCGACCAGCATTGGCGCGAGGTCGACCGCTGCCTCGCCTACCTCGTTGACACCCGCGACACCGCCCTAGAGTTCGGCGGTGGACCAGAGTTGCTGGAGATGATCAGCTACGTGGACGCCGACGACGCGGGCAACAAGAAGAACCGGACAAGCACGGGAGGCTACGTATTCGTCTACGGAGGGGCCGTCGTCTCCTGGTCAAGCTCGCGCATCAAGTGCGCGACATTGTTGTCGACAGAGTCGGAGTACGTGGCGGCAACGGATGCAGGCAAGGAGGGACGCCGACTTTGTTTCCTTCTTGCGGAATTCAAGTTACTCGACGCTGGGAAGCTGACCATCCTCCGCGTCGACAACAAGTCGGCAATTATGGTCGCTGAGGGCTTGGGGCTGACGGGCAACCTCAAGCACATGGAGCAACGCTATGCCTGGCTGCAGCGCATGGTGAGGCGCGGGAAGTTCGTACTGAAGTACATCCCGACCACAGAGCAGCCGGCAGACTTCCTGACGAAGGCGCTGCATTTTCCGGCTTTCAACCGGTGCTCTGTCGCCATCGGCTAAGTTTGTCTGGCCGACGTCTGCAACGACGACAATGATGTGCAGCAGTAGGTGCCGTGCCCTTCTGCACGGCTGGTGCGGTGACGGCATGCTGTGTGTGGGGTGCACACCAAGGACGAGTTTTCTCCGTAGTGTGCTGTCGTATGGGCTGGGGGCCCAAGAGTGAGCGCGGCAGGGGAGTGTTAACGGGAGTGGATTGTTGGCCCCGCCCTCGCTCGGGCAACGCCGACGACTTGGTCGAATGTACGGGAGTAGCGGCCGACCGTTCATAGTGGGAGAGCTGCTCGACAGGCTTTGTCGAGCTACAGGGGACCGCTGTGGTGTTGCTGTCGACCAGAGAGCTCGACAGCTACAACTGACTGGTCTGGGCGACGGGTGGGCCGTCGACTAGGAGGGGCAGTTCAACTGGGAGGTCGACGGAGCAGTCCGTCAACTTGACAAGTGAGCAGAGGTCGACGAGGGGAGCTCGGCGACAACAGCTGACAGTTCTGGTCAACGGTAACCAGCAGAAGATACTTAGGCAAGGAGCGGGGATGGAACTGCTTGCTTGCTCGTTTGTTCTCACAATTAAGCATAATTTCAGCCTAGCGAACTTCTAGAGCTAAGAAACCAGTGATGACAACCCCGCAAGCCACCATTGGAAGTAACTGAGCAAGAGAGCCAGCCGAGCTTCAGTTCCCTAGAGTAGCAGATAGGAGCAGCTCATCAGGGAACTTTTCAACAAACGAGCAAGGATTACGAATAGAAATGAGCGATAGTTATTGCTTCAGATCAGGTCACAAATATTGGAGAGAAGATATTCAAGCCGCCCCGAGCTGGAGAGCGCAACCAAGCGTGACAGCGACGAACGGGCAGCGGGAAGATAACGTG